GTTGAAGATGGATCGTCGTTTCCGAGTGCCCCCATTCTCACCCATCGGATTTCATAGCCGCTTTTTTGATGACTTCTCCGACTTCGATCCGACCACTTCATCGACCCTATTGGATGGATCAAACCATGCTTACCGGGCATCGAATCGGAGAGGGCATTGACGTGAGTTCGTCTTTGATTGCCCAGTGTTGATCAGTATCACAAACTAACAAAATTCCTTCAGCTGGTCGACAACGATAGGGAGTACTCTGTATCCGTGGATGTGTCGCAGTTTGAACCCGAAGAACTTACGGTGAGTACAGCTGCTATTGATATTTAGGTAAAAGAGAAATGCTGCCATAAATTGGTCGCTCGTCAGAAGCGAAAGTAGGGCTGGCAAAGGGGCAGTTGGGACGCAGAACTTAGTGATGTTCTCTAACACAGTGAAACTAGATATTGCTTAAGTGATTTCCGCGCTCAAAGCTGTCATTGTGAACGCATTGCTCTGCCTTCCTATGCTGTCTCAAAGCGCACGTCAACGTGGAAATGGAACATCTCTGCCCTCATCCGCCTAGCCTCCCTATGGAGAAGGAAGATCTAAACTTCCTAAACTTCTATTTTATTCCATCACCTGCCTGTAGGTCAATCACACTGTAGATCCATGGTAGGATCGAAGTGTGCCTCTGCTATCATTGATCTCGGCTTTACTTAGCTTACGTTGCGCTAGGGTCAACTTACTTTGTCTGGCCGAACCAGTCGGAGGGGTTTTGGCCCATGGAGATGAGCTGAGTGAGGTTGTAAAAGGGGTGTCTGAGTGTGAAACAGTGCCTCCCTACATTTTTGAATAAACACACATAAAAGAGGACCACGTGATAATGTCGAAGAAGGAGAAACTTTCCTACTTCAGAAGAAAAACAGGCGGCCCGCTAGGGGTGTTATCGGCGCGGAAAACCACCGATGGCTAATCCACTTCACCGAAAGCTCTATACGCGAGAGAGAGGCAGAGATAGCATTAAGCATCCAACCCTCCTAACGGAGTCCAAGAAAGCCTTACTTTGAGGAAGTTATGAGTTATGCCCTATCTATTCCATTTCGCCCCTCCTTCGTGATGTTTCCACCGAAATAATCAAAAACTACGCACGTGGCGTATCTCGTCCATCAACAAACATGATCCGTCATTAGCTTAGTTTATTAGGCCTAAGCGCCACGTCAGCCGCGACAACGGCTCATCCGTGATTCTCATAGGCTCCTCTATCCCACATGGATGAGATTGAATCATGTTTGCCCGGGAAGTATTCCTTTCACTACAGAAAAAACAAAGGAGAAAGATAGGAACGATGAATTTTTCGGACGAGTTAGACTACTTTCTTTCTTTTCTTAGCTCGCCTCATACCCTAACGAAATCGTGCACGAAAACTTGCAGTATTTTTCCCCTCCCGCCAATGCTTCATGTAGGGTCAGCGCCCAGAGTGGGGTGCACGGTGCGGGGTCCGTGTGTTGTCTCGTATGAACGAAGTGAACTTAACCAAAGGAATTATGAGGTGAAAGGAAAGCCATTTAGCGCGATAGATTAGGATGCAATAGAAAGGCAAAATGTGTTTTGTGTCTAAATGAGGACAGCCGCAAAGATTTCTAACTGGTGGCAATGCCATAGACAAAGCGAACATCGCGTTTTCACACCAACATTTGTGACAGATCTGCAGCGGAAATCTGGAATGAGTGATAGTTTTTTTTTAAACTTTTTTCGGAACGTGTTGGAAATTTTTGTTCACCAAAGCAAACACAACTTTCAAGTTCCCTCCGTTCCTATCGTGAAGGGGCTCCAGATCAACGATTGATGAGGAAGTAGAATAGTGCGGTTCTCGTTCACAATGACTTTAAAGGCATGAATCGTAACAAAATATGTGTGGAAGCGTTCACTAGTGAATGGTAGGATGTGGGGTGGAAAAGAGAACAAGAAATACTCTCTCATACGCCACAAATAAGGATCTCCTCTCGCTTTTTACATTGGGAGAGAGAAGGGGCGTGTTGGACGAGTTTCACGAGCCTGGCTCTAGTTGCTCCAGTGCCAATGACATTGAATCGCAATGGGACCGCTGCCTCAACTGCGCCCGCGCTTTTCAAGCGTCACGTGCAACGCACAGCGGAGGGCGGGTCGAGCGAGCTCTTGCGCCTTTGTCGCGCACTTTCAAGCGGCAAAAGGGGGCGACATCAACGCTTGTCCGCCTGCCTACTACGATTAGGTATGGAACAGCTGAGCGCTTGATCCCGGAGCGTGCCTTTCAGCAAATCCTCAATTTTGGACGCACGGAGTTGTAAAGTTGACCGTCTTAGAGGACATACCTTTTGTTTACCAAAAAACGCATTACAGCAGCCTTCCGTTCCCTTTTGTTTTCTAGAACTTAATTTTTAGGTAAACATTGTAGACAACGTCCTCACAATCGAAGGGAAACATGAGGAGAAAACCGACAAATTCGGAAAGGTACTTGGATAAGCTCACTCCCGAAATGCTTTGTCGTAAGTGTCTGAATAAAACACCTGTGTTACAGGTTGAGCGGCATTTTCCTGCGCAAGTACGATCTGCCGAGCACAGTGAAAGCCGACGAGGTGAAAAGTGAGCTGAGCAAGGAAGGAGTTCTCACCGTGAAGTACTACCGACAGCCCGAGCTTCAGCCGAAAGTGATCCCGATTTCGATTCAACCAAAGCACTAATAGTAGAATGAGCTCCTTGAGATCATTCAGAGTTTTCCTCTTCGCTAGCACTGCGGCCTTGCTCACCTTCTCTTCATCATGAATCCAGTTTATGCCCTTCCTTGACAGAACCAAGCTTTTTTGTCACCAATTCCATGAAGCCTTTTGATGATTAGGCGTTACCATGCCCTTGTTCAAGCAATTATTGAACGTATAAAAGATTCATTGTGAAGTCATAAGCTTGCTAACAAGAACGCCTGCTACGTAAATCAGCGAAGGCGTAAGTGCATGAGGCTACGTGAGACGGAGTATTGCTAATATGTCGAATCCAACACCTTAAGAACATTTCCCTCAACAGCGACTATGAGCAGCTCCAACGCAGTGGCTGGTGCTGCCAGGCGTCACGACTCTGCTCGCTGCTTTCCGGTTGACCTCAAAAATAACCGCACAAAGGCATCCTTGACTGCAGTGCAAACCGGTGAACTGCTTGGTCTCCATCTGAATTGCATCCACAGCTCCCTTAATGTTTCTTTCACACTCCCATCTGCAGGTGAAGCATGCAGTGCAGCGTACACTGATTTAAGCCTTGAAATCTGTACGCCACTGTCGAAAAGACTACAAGTTACAAAACATCTCCTCAAAATCATCCACAGCTGTGATAAGGGTTTACACAGAGTGAATTCATCCACCACTGATTTTGGTACCCGGTTCTGTGGGGACAAGGCCTACCACTAACGAAATAGAAGAACTTTAGCAACTCGTCATCACGTTCCATTCCCTTTTCTCTTCACCTCAAAACAAGAGGTTCGACCGAATAGAGGGTTTTATAAATATCAACTCCTACGGTTCTCTTGCAATTACAACTAATACGAATGATGTGCCATGGAGCATTTTGAAATCGAAGGTGGATTAACGGATTGGTTTTACTAAAATCCCAGTGCTAGGGCACGGGAATCAGAGCGTGGAGGAATTCCGGAACAGGTCTAAAAAGCTTCAATCCACTCAAGAATGCGTGACTAGGTTAGGCTCCATTCTCTTTATCAAAACAGTACGCTTCCTAATTACGATGGACTAGCATGGCGCATCAGAAATAGCAGAATGCCATTCAGAAGCACTTCGACGCCCCCTCCACTCCATAAGCGAAACAAACACTGCGTCACGGTGATCGGATTGCTTTCCCTATGAATCCTCCAGTGACCTAGATTGATACATATGCGCTAGACTTAAAATTAGAGGCAAAGAAGGTTTTACATCCCAGCCCAGCATCGGCAGGCACTGTCATGCTATAAGAAGGTACAATTATCATCGGTATAGAATTTCACCATTATGTTAAGAATCAAGAATCAAGTTCCAGGGCACATTCCGCCGAGTTAAGTTAACCTCTCGCCACTGAGGAAGGCGTCAACTTTGCGATTCGCTAGCCGTTCGAGGGAAATACGCCAACGATTCGAGTTATCTTTCTAACCTAGTCCTATAGGAGCCGAATGAGTTAACAGGCTCCTTAGGACATCGACGTTAGCTCACTTCGGCCCACAGCGAGACACCTGACAGTATTCGACACCGGACGCTTGTGTACGAATTGTTTGATGAGCTGCTTCTTGGCGAACTATCGCGCGCTTCCGGCGCTGTCGCCGGCATTCCACAAGGAAGCAGTGCAAGATCAAAAAGTTACTGGGCGCACAAGAGCCGATATCGCGGCACGCCCCCTCCGTCGGCCATCTATGGGCACGCCCTAGGATCAAGGATCAAGTTGGTAGTATGAACACCCAGTAATAAAGATAGAGGTGCGGATACCAAAAGTGAAAAAGAAGTCGAAGAAACCATTGAAAGCCTCAATGTTAGGGGCTTAGATTCTCTGCAAGGTTGGCCGTGGCACACCAAAGGGTTACAGCGCGCAGAGGAGCGAGGATACGCGAAGGATCACGCTATGAAGGGCACACATAGGCTGGCGACTGCTGCATAATGAGCGATAAACTACCACGCAATTAACTGAGTACTGGCAAAGCCTTATTTGTGTCCTTGTTGTTCACTTTTTAAGAAAACAACAAGGGCATCGGTAGCATCCGCAAACAGCTCCATCTTACCCACTAGAGGGATAATCCATTGGTCTAACCTCGAGGCGAGCTTTCAGCGCGTCTTCTCAGCTTCATTCAACTTGCAGTGCAGGATTTTCATCTGGTATTTGAAAAAGTGAACAGTCAGAATCCTTGAAGCCGGGCACTGCAATGGTACTAGTGGGTAATGCACTATAAATGACACCTCAACAAGGACAGGTGCTAGAT